AAAGAAAGTAGCAGTCAAGCACAAGAGTCAAAGACAAGAAGAGAAGAGTACGGACAGTGACTCACAGAGGAGCACCGCGTTTGATATGATATCAGCAGATCGAGCCACATAAGCCACCAGCAAAACATAGTGAATGAAAAGGTATGCCAAGCTGCCAGTAACACAAGGTGAGCTCAAAGAATGGTGCGTATTAAAGGATAGAAACCTGGCAAACCGAACTCCAATCGCTCCTAAAGTTTTCTCAGCCATGGAAACCTATTGAAAGCAATTGGCAATCAGCAGAAAGGTCCTAGAATTGGAAAACAGCTTACAATCGATACGCCACCGGAGCCAAGTTCACACATAGTGCTCACGTTAACTTCTGCTACTAGCAATCCCGTAGCAACCTGGGAACTAATCTTCCACTCAACCAGTCGAATAATAATGGAAATCTTCCATACCATGTATAGCCAGCAAATGCTGCAAGTTAGAGATGATGCTGCGAACCCAGAACCGGGATCGTATGTTGGTGAGGTCGTCAAAGTGATGGGAAAGAGCAAAGTTCTTGTGAAGGTATGTAATTTTTTTTCTCCTCCTTTCTGGCACTTTAGAGTATTTTTTTCTTCTTGGTGGAACTTTAAGTGCACCCAGAAGGAAAGTATGTCGTAGATGTTGACAAGAGCATCGACATGAGCAAGATCACTCCCACCACTCGAGTTGCTCTTCGAAACGATAGCTATGTGCTGCACTTGATCCTTCCCAGCAAAGTGGATCCTCTCGTGAATTTGATGAAGGTTGAGAAGGTCCCGGACTCCACGTACGATATGATCGGTGGGCTTGACCAGCAAATCAAAGAGATCAAAGAGGTCAGTTTTGGCTATGCTTTTCCCTTCGAGGTTGAGTTTCTTATTTCATTTCTTTCTCAGGTTATTGAGCTTCCGATCAAGCATCCTGAGCTTTTTGAGAGCCTGGGTATTGCACAGCCGAAGGTAAAATTTTGCTAACAAAAGTTTGGCTTTTGGTACCAGCATCTATTCTTGTCTTCTGCTGTGCAGGGAGTGCTACTGTATGGCCCTCCTGGAACTGGAAAGACTTTGCTGGCTCGGGCCGTGGCTCACCATACTGACTGTACATTCATAAGAGTTTCAGGGTCCGAGCTAGTCCAGAAATACATCGGAGAAGGGTCGAGGATGGTGCGAGAGCTTTTCGTCATGGCAAGGTATCGTAATGTCCATATTCTATCCTAGTATAGTTACGTTTTTCTGTGTTTTCTTAGAGAGCATGCTCCATCCATTATCTTTATGGACGAGATTGACAGCATTGGCTCGTCCCGTATGGAGTCTGGCAATGGCAACGGGGACAGTGAAGTGCAGAGAACAATGCTGGAGCTGCTCAATCAACTGGATGGTTTCGAGGCCTCCAACAAGATCAAAGTTCTCATGGCTACAAACAGGATCGACATCCTTGATCCCGCTCTCCTCCGGCCCGGACGAATAGACCGCAAGATCGAGTTTCCAAACCCAACTGAAGAGGTATTTCCTGGTCCTTTTTTCTGTTCTTTCCTCACGCGCTCGTTTTTCCAGTCCCGTCTGGATATCCTCAAGATCCATTCGCGCAAGATGAATCTAATGCGGGGGATCGACCTGAAGAAGATCGCCGAGAAGATGAACGGTGCCTCGGGAGCGGAGCTAAAGGTTTGTGATGCTCGCGCTTTAGTTGGTCCTTGACGACGGAGTGTGTTTTTTTTTTTTTTTGCTCTCCAGGCGGTGTGCACGGAGGCTGGAATGTTTGCTCTGCGAGAGAGGCGCGTTCATGTCACCCAGGAAGACTTCGACATGCCGGTGGCCAAAGTGATGAAGAAGGAGACCGAGAAGAACATGTCTTTGAGAAAGCTATGGAAGTGAGTTAAATCAAAATCTCTTACTAAAATGGAGCTCTTTATACGTTTGGACGGAATGATTAGTTTAATAGACCAAAAAATTGAGCTCAACTCTTGAGCTCAAAAGTCAATCCTTGAAGTCGATGGTAGTCAATTTTCGAGGACTTTCATTCACTATATTGACTTTGTAATTGATTTTTTTGCCTCTCATTGACTTTTAGTAAAAATGTTTTGTTTGGTCAAAGACAGATTACAAGACAAAAATGATGCTCTAATTACAGTTGGGAGTAAAAAATGTCGGCAGTATCTTCAAAGGATCTAATATTTAAAACATGCGGCATATTTTCATGCATATTCTAACGTTTGAAAACTTCTTCGCGCGGCAGCAGAATTTCTAGATCTGCAAAGCAAATTGTCTCGAGAATGTCCGTGGTGTTGATTCAGATCTGGGTCTTTCTGCCCTTTCCATCTGAAAAATTTTATATTTCCAATCGAACTTGAACATCACCGGAGAGCCTATTCACTCTCTCGATTTTTGATGGATCAGTGAACGAGCGAGCGAGCAGGATGACGATCCTCTCTCTCTCCGTGCTGAGCGTCTCCGAGCAGCAACTGGCAGCGCTCGTGAATTACATTGGCTGGTCTTACGTCGTCGTCTGGTCGCTGCCACAACGGTGAGTTTTGGAGAATTGTATCTCGTTTCCTCCCTCTCTCTATCTATTTCTCTCCAGAAGGGAGAGCTGAGATTTCCAATCTCTCATCCTCGTTTCTGGAGAGCACGATGATGATCTTCTTTGTGTATATTATGAAATGAGGCCTTGCATGGGTGCTCTTGATACTATCAAGTAATAAATACCTCGGTTTTTCGTCGACTGCAGTGCTCTCGTGTGGCAACTATGGCCGGCAGGGTCCAGTTTCCAGCAAACGCTGTTCTACACAGCTTACAAGTCCTGCCAGTTTCCATTCGGACATGGGTATTGAGAGTTTTCAGCGCGAAGTTTGAATAAAAGAAGGCTTTTTTCACCTTCCAGGCATGCTGGTATAGCAGTGATCAGACGCGAGCACGTATGGGTCACAGGCGTGGATGTCACGAACACCTCAGTGTTCGAGCAAAGAGATTTCCTGCAAGTAAGTCCTTGACTTTGACAAAACTGAAGCAAGCTTTGTTTCCTTACCTGCATTTTAGGCTACAATCATCCAGAGCCTCCTGTGCATCCCGCTGCTGGATGGCGTCCTGGAAATTGGTTCCACGGACACTGTAAGACAATCCAAGCTTAGAGTTGTTCCATGTAGATTCTTGAGATCGACTCCTTGCTCCAGACTATAAGAACATTCCTGTATGCTGCTCCTGTTTCATTGCCAGTACCAACGGAACATCCATCAACCTCGACGTCATTCATTTTCTCACAATCTCCTTCCGAGGCATCGCTGGACATCCCTGGCCTGCATCATCAAAGTTACACGACATCAGACTGGACGACAATCTATCAAGCAACTTCAAGCCTAGGAACTCTTGTAGCCGGAGAGCACTTCGACTCTAGTTCAGCCTCGGTAAATAGAAAATGGGATCCGCTCCA